AATAAATACCAGGGAAAGCTCTTCCTAATAGGGGGTTGGGGGAGGAGGATGAGATAAATGTGAAAGATGCAATTAAAAATCAAAACAGGGGCGCCTGGGTGGCTCAGTCAGTTAAGCATTGGCCTTCCGCTCAGGTTATGGTCCCGGGGTCCTGGGATCGAGCCCGTGGTGGGCTCCCTGTTCAGCAGGGAGCCTGCTTCTCCCTCTCCCACTCCCCCTGCTTGTGTTCCCTCTCTCACTCGCTGTCTCTCTCTCTCTCTCTGTCAAATAAATAAATAAAATATTTAAAAAAAAAAAAGGCGAAGCAGATGCCAACGAAGCCAATCACACACAAGAATTCTTCAGGTAGGGTTCTATCCTGACAGATCATTTTAATGTCTTAAACCTTGACCCAGATGAAATCTGAGTCATTCATATATGCCACTCAACAGTTTCTGGGCTTTAAGTAGACTACGCATAATTCTTGGGGAAAAAAGCTTAGTGTCTCTGTAGACACACTGATGAGAAGCTTTTTTTTATTGAGCATTTCCCAAAAGTTCACCAATCAGTGTGGTAGCATTTAAATATGATCATCTTTTATTCAAAGAAGAAAATTTAATCACAGCACAACAGAGTGATAGAATGAAAAATGCAGTAAAGAAGAGGATCAAGATAGGAAGCCTAGTGGAGGATGGAAGTGTTTGTAGAAATTGAATACAAGTTTTTAAAAGAAACCAGCACAGACTATTGGTGCGGGGGCTTTGCAGCTCCAGATACATGCACAGCTAACAAATGCACCTATCTTGAGAAAATCTCAGATTTCTGTCTTCTGGGAAATAAATGATGAGGTCTTAATGATAAAATGCTAAGATTCTGGTAGCCCTGCTGAGCATAAGAACTTCAACTTTTCAAAGATATTAAAAATACCTAGCATGTAAAAAACACAGCTACAACTGCACATATAATTACTTTATGGAATGTTAGGGATGGCAGGAATCTTAGAAATCTTCTTTCCAATCCCTCATACGTTGTGAGTTGGCTAAGCTTGCAGAGCTGGTAACAGAGCAGGGGTCAGAACCTAGGACTCCCGGTTTCCAAACCAAATGCCTCCCACTCTTCCAGATGATTTAATCACCAGCAAAATCTGGACATTTAACAAGTGGGCATGGTTGATAGTTAACGACAATGGAATAATCAGCTGATAAAATTCATCATTTATCAACTGTGCCCAGGAATTTTCTTAAAGGCCATGTTCCTATTCTCCCCCAGTGGGCTACTCTGAAGAAGAGTCTCTTACCTGTTTTGTCGCTAAGATGCTGTATTTTGGGCTGTGTCAGACTTAACGTGATTTATAGGTGATCATTTAGAAACTATATGCAAAGCAGCTTACAGTTAAACAGAACTGCTTAGTTCTGGTTTAGCTATTTTATGTAGATATGACAACACATAACAATACTAAGTAGAAAGGTTTGCTTACAAAACTAGACTCTTGTAACAAATTCTTTTGTAAAAAGAATGCCTCCCCATTCATCTGGTTTATATGATTTTCTATCAAAATTATTTATGGAAAATATCTGTAATAGTCTCATAATGTTGATCAATATTCTTTTAAATAGAGATTAAGGCCATAACCAGGAAGGTCAATATGAACCTAAATTTTATTACAATACCTTTTAAATTTATTTTCCTTTATTTATTTATTTATTTATTTTTTAAAGATTTTTATTTATTTGACAGAGACAGAGCGAGAGAGGGAACACAAGCAGGGGGCGTGGGAGAGAGAGAAGCAGGCTTCCCGCTGAGCAGGGAGCCCGATGTGGGGCTCGATCCCAGGACGCTGGGACCATGACTTGAGCCGAAGGCAGACGCTTAACGACTAAGCCACCCAGGCGCCCCTATTTTCCTCTATTTAGACTTGACTTTTTAGAGTAATTTTAGATGCACAGCAAAATGAAGCAGAAAGTACAAAGAGATCCCATACACCCCTTTCCCTACACATGCATGTCCTCCCCCACTACCAACATCTCCCCCCAGTAATATATTTTTACAATTGATGAACCAATATTGACACATCATCACTCAAAGTTCATAGTTTACCTTAGGGTTCACTCTTGGTGTTATACATTCTGTGGGCTTTAACAAATGTATAACGACATGTATCCAGCATCATAGTATCATACAGAACAGTTTTACTACTCTAAAAAGCCTCTGTGCTCCACCTTTTCATCCCTCCCTGCCCCCAATACATGACAACCACTGGTTGGTTTGTTTTTTTTACCGCCTCCATAGTTTTGCCTTTTCCAGAATGTCATACAGTTGGAATCACACAGTATGTGGCCTTTTCAGATTGGCTTCTTGCACTCAGTAATACGCATTTAAAGTTCCTCCACATATTTTTATGGCTTGATAACTCATTTATTTTTAGTGATGAATAATATTCCATTGTCTGGATGTATCACAGTTTATTTACCCATTCACCTCCTGAAAGACATCTTGGTTGCTTCCAAGTTTTGGCAATTATGGATAAAGCTGCTATAACCATCCATGAGCGGACATAAGATTTCAACTTATTTGGGTAAATACCGAGGAGTGTGACTACTGGATCATATAAATTCATGTTAGTTTTGTTGAGAAACTGCCAGATTTTTTTCCAAAGTGGCTGTACCATTTTGCATTCCCACCAGCAATGAATGAGAGTTCCTGTCGCTCCACATCCACACCAGCATTTGGTGTTATCAGTGCTCTGGATTTTGGCTCTTCTAATAGGTGTGTGGTAGTATCTCATTGTTGTTTTAATTTGTATATCCCTAAGGACATGTGGTGGTGTGGTGTGTGCTTATCTTCCATCTGTATATCTTCTTTGGTGAGGTGTCTGTTCAGGTGTTTGGCCCATTTATAATCAGGTTGTCTTATTGTTGAGTTTTAAGGGTTCTTGGTATATTTTGGATAATAGAACTTTATCAGGTATGTCTTTTGCAAATATTTTCTCCCAGTCTGTGGCTTATCATTTTTTTGACATTGTCTTTCACAGAGTACAAGTTTTTAATTGTAATGAACTCCAACTTATCATTATTCCTTTCTTTCATGATTCGTGTTGTCTTTTATCTAAAAAGTTATCACCAAACCGAAGATCATCTAGATATCTAGATTTTCTCCTATGTTATCTTCTAGAATTTTTAATTTTATGTTTTACATTTAGGTCTATGATCCATTTTGAGTTAATTTTTTGAAGGGTGTAAGGTCTGTGTCTTGCTTTTTTTTTTTTTTTTGCATGTGGATGTATAGTTGTTCCAGCACCATTTGTTGAAAATCCTTTTCTAGGGACACCTGGATGGCTCAGTCAGTTAAGTGTCTGACTTCGGCTCAGGTCATGATCCCAGTGTGCTGGGATCGAGTCCCACATTGGGCTCCCTATTCAGCGGGGAGTCTGCTTCTCCCTCTGCCTTTACCTCTCCCCCCTGCTTGTTCTCGCTCTCTCTCAAATAAATAAAATAAAATCTAAAAAAAAAAAAAAAAGCTTTCTCCATTGTATTGCCTTTGTTCCTTTGTCAAAGATCAATTGGCTACATTTGTGTGGGTCTATTTCTGGGCTCTCTGTTCTGTTTATCTATTTTTTGGTCAATACCACACTGACACTGACTTGATTACTGTAGTTTTATAGTAAGTCTTAGAGTCAAATAGTGTCAGTCCTCCAACTTTGTTCTTTTCCATTAATATTGTGTCAGCTTTTCTGGGTCTTTTGCCTCATCATATAACCTTCAGCATCAGTTTGTTGATATCCACAAGATAACTTGCTGAGATTTTTGGCAGGGATTATGTTGAATCTATAGATCATTAGGAAGAACTGATATCTTGTTAATATTGAGCCGTCCTATCCATGGATATGGAATATCTCTCCATTTATTTAGTTCTTTGATTTCTTTCATCACTTTTGTAGTTTTCCTCATGTGTATTTTGTTAGATTTATACCTATTTCATTCTGGGGACTGCTAACATTAAAGGTATTGTGTTTTTAATTTCACTTGTTCATTGATAGTATATGGGAAAGCAATTGACCTATGTATATTAACCTTCCATCTTGCAACCTTTGTATAACTACTTTAATTAGTTCCAGGAGTTTTAGGGTTTTGTCAATTATTTTGGATTTTCTACGTAGACAATCATGTCATCTGTAAACAAAGAGAGTTTTATTTCTTCCTTCCCAATCTGTATACCTTTTATTATTGCATTAGCTAAAATTTGCAGTATGATGTTGAAAAGGAAGTGATGAGAGAGGGTATCCTTGCCTTGTTCCTCATCTTAACAGGAAAGCTTCTGTTTCCATTAAGTATGATGTTAGCTGTAGGTTTCTGTAGATGTTCTTTATAAAGATGTTTCTCCTCTATTCCTAGTTTACGGAGTTTTTTTTTTTTTTTTTAACATAAATGGGTGTTGGATTGTGTCAAATGCTTTTTCTGCATCTATTAATAGGGTCATGTCATTTATCTTCTTTATCCTGTTGTTGTGATAGATTTTATTGATTTTTGAATGTTCAATCAGCCTTGCATACCTGAGATAAATTCCACTTGGTTGTAGTTGAACTTACTTACACCTTTTAATACTAACAATAAAATCAATAATTTTAGGTTAGGTTTGTACGTTTAAAAAATATGTTTTTTACTAACCAAAAAAACCATTAAGAACTCCTAGAACCTCAACCTTATTAATTTAATGTAATTTAAATATAATTTTTGCCAAGAATTTCTTTGAACAAGCCCTCCTTCATGCATTTTATTTTTCTCTTCATGAATTTTAATCTCTCAATTTGTCAAAATAATATTTGTATACTTTCAGAGCCCCATCTAAGTACCATACATTTCTTCTTTCTCCCTTCTCCTCCACACACACATGCACACACAGATAATTTAGTACCAATATTTTATGATGAGCCACTGTTATAAAAGAGTAGTCTCATAACAGGGGACCAAATGTCTTTGTATCTTCGAGTTTATTATACAGCAGAAGAAGGAGGAAAGAAACACTGGTGTTTTAAAAATTATTTTTATTGTTACATTCCAAAGAGGACATAGGAGGAAAAAAGCCAGTTATCCAATAACTGTTATACCTTTCAGAGGGAGGCACCCAGCAAGGAACTCCAGTCTTAGTTCAAAGCTACACACACTAGAGCTCAAACAGCTGCCTCTCCACCTGACCAGAAATGTGGACAAATGTGTGTATGTCACCAATCCAGAGATGCTTGGGGTTAAAAGAAAATTCCTTTATTGCAAGTGTCCAAGTTCTTAGGATTCATCCTTAAAGATACTAGAAGAAGATGAGAAAGACCACACACACCAGACTATGTTTAGTCATTAGAGTAAACTAGCAAATTGCTAGTTCGTTCTAGGATGCATTGCATCAGACATCACAGTACATGAGGAAAATCTGCATTTTATGAAGAGCCACCAGGTAGTTCAGATCCACTTGACCATGAAGTGCAGCCACAGGCCAACCAGATACCTAGATAATATAGTCAGTGCAAAATTCAAATGGGTAAGTCAGGGCTTTGATGAGGCTGGCTACACTGCAAAGTATAAATGAAACTTGAAAACAGAATGTTAAGTCTATTTACAAAAGTTTGTTTAGTAAAGTGACTTGAGAAAAGTTATGTTAACCACTTCCCGCACATCCCTCCCCTCTCCGGCCAGAAAGAAAAAAAAAAAGAAAGAAAGAAAGGAAAAAAAAAAAAAAACCACCTGAAAATTATCTTGAAAACCAAGTTAAAACTGTATGGTGAAAAAGAGAGTGCTTGTTCCAGGTAAAGGACTTCAAGATAATTTACAGGCAGAATTATTTTTATTAGTAAAAGTCACAAATAGGAAAAAGGTTAATTGGCTGACTTTGAGGTGTGTGCTCTTAAAAATGCCTGTATTAATACGTTAACAAGAAAACAAAATACCAAGCACATTTCTGTTTCCAATTCTGAATTTCCCAGCAAGAGTTGGTGAAATCAACAGGGTATTAAAACAAAACCCAGGAAAACTCAGTCAATTTTTTTCAGTTGTCTGCCTCATTTCTTTCTAATCACCTTCAATTTGATTTCCAATTAGCTGAGGACAACATGACGGTCAAAGACGGATTTTCGCTGCTCTTGAACTTGAAGCTTCCAGCGTTGCTGGGCATATTCTACCTTATTCAGCACATTGGCTCGGCTGCGGGAGCGGGCCAGCACATCGTGGGCATTTGCAAAAGGCTGGTGATCCTGAAAGCCCAGTAATGGAGATCATCAGAGATGGCATGATCAGTGTACAACACACGCACAAAAGAGCAATTATCCAGCCAGAGAGTGGCTGGACTTTACAAACAGACCATCTCTTGGGCCAAGCACTCCTAGGCACTCAAGTGCCAGAAGTAGGATGAACTCAACTACAGAAATAAGTGTTTCAAGTAGCTTGAGTGATGAGGAGGTATTTGTGAAATGTTTGCATGAGTCATCATTTCCAAAGACATTTCCCGTAAGAAGCAAGCACCAAGACAAAGACAGTGGTCATTTAGGTTAAAGACCAGCCTTCCCTGACAGGTAGGGGAAGAAAACCTTTTTTCATGTTAATATTCACATGTTACAGATATGGGAAGTAGAGCTTTTCCCTGCTGTATTCAATACTATATAGCTAATCTGGCAGAGGAAAGACTTGTCTTTTACTTTCCTGACTCCTGTTTAGAACTGTTACTTGCCAGCTTGAGGCCACATTCACCCTTGGGAGAGGAGTTGACAGGATCTTATCTTGATTGGTTTTAATATTTCCCTGCACCTTTAACACATACACCAAGTGGACTGGTTTCCAAAATCCTTTTCATTTCCCCCTCCCCCAGTCTGTAATGAAGACACACAACTCAAGTGCTACAATCACTCTCTATTACCAAGGACAGTAAGGATTTATTACTTCAGCATTTTTATTAGATAAACACCTGAATCTTTCACTGCTGAGCACTCAGGGGCCTCCATGTTAGTTGCTGCCTTAAGAAAGAGGCTATTGAGGGGTTACCCAGGTATCTGTGTAGAAAACCAACCTATCCTGGTCAAAGTAAACTAATGCCACTGATGTTTGTAGTCATGACACAGGAAACCACCATGCTAATCTATCTATGAATGAGATATAAACACAGCTGCCTAAATGACAAAAAGGATTCAATATTAATTTATTGCTTTTGTTTGCCCTTTCCTTGATCTCTTTTTCCTGAACCCTGTGTTAACAAAGCTTCTAAATGTTCCAACATAGGATCCAAGTCACAAGTTGTACCTCTTACATTAAACCTTGCCTCAAAGAAAGAAATATTATTTTGCTGTGCATGTTTACAGAAGTTCTATTATACATCCAAGGCAGGAGTCAGCATGTCTATGGAAAGCGATACACAACCACGTAACTATATATACAACTTTAACTATGTGGAGTTACAACACCTGGTCTTCTTTTTACAGTAAGGCACTTATACAATGTCTACATTTCAAAGACATCAAAAAGTTTTCTATAAGGGATCTTTCCCTGCCTTCTTTAACGAAATTTTCTCAAATTTTTGCTTAATTTAGGTAACAACTTGTTACAAGACAGGCAAACAGCAAGACCCATTTTTTTTATTTTTAACCTTACAAATGAAAATAATTAAAACAATTCCATAAAGTTCAAAGTGTTTCAAAGATTTAAAAAAAAAAAAAGTCAGGAACGAGGAAGGCTAAAGTTGTTGGATTACTTGATTTCCCATAAGGAAATAAACTGATCCAAGGTCATCTAAGAAATGAACACAGGACTTAGCTCAACTCACCTTGACTTGGTGTCATATCATCTCAACACACTGATTTTGTTCAAGTGGATTAAAATGACTCTTTGGGAATACAATGCTTCGGTGAACTTGTATATAAAATAGTATTACCATTAGTTTGTTTTGACATAAACAAGACTGGGAGGAAGGATGTACTTTCTCAGCAGAGCAGCTCTCAATTTCATAGTCCTGTTATCTACCCTTCAAGGTAGGGGGAGCAAAACTTCCCTAAGGAACAAATTTAAAGGACTAAACAAACCAGTTAATCCTTTTATCCATTTTCCACCTACCACCTATCAGAACAAGAATGAACTAGCTGCTCGTGGTCATGGATGCTAGAAGAATGCAAATAGAGATTTACCCGTTTTATAGGTTTGTTCTTTTTACACCTGATAAAATTACAATAAACACAAAACATGTTTTAATGTAATGCTTTGATAATAGTAATGATGTGTCATGGATATATGATACGATAAATATTGTGACTGCTTGCAGTGAGCTTCTTAACTATTTGTACTAACTCTCACTTGATTTAAAATGCTCTACAATGAACAAAAATGAAACAAGATGAAAGGATTTAATGGAGAATTAAACAGAAACATTTTTAAAAGCAGATAAATAGTAAAGAATTCTCATGTTAAGATAAGCAACAATTGTAGGAATTTAAATTTAACTTTTTTTTGTACAGAGTTGTTACTATAAATTCACAGCCAGAGGTTAGAAAACCTCTCTCTGCCCAGAATTAATTCAATAGATATTCAAGAGTCAGCCAGGACTCTCAGAGATAATGTTTTCAGTTAATATATGCACAGAATCTATCACTGGTGAACAAAATGGTTATTAAGCCCATGACCCCACCAATCAAATGCCTTTCCTACATGTTTTCATCTACATATTTGTGCATCCATTTCTTTTATGTTCTATGTGCATTACATTAATATTGTTTATTTCTAAAATCAGGAACCAAATATTTAATACTGTAAAGGATAAGGTTTGTTTTGTTTTTTTAAGATTTTTTATTTATTTATTTGACAGAGAGAGAGAGCGAGAGAGGGAACACAAGCAGGGGGAGTGGGAGAGGGAGAAGCAGGCTTCCCGCGGAGCGGGACGCTTAAGGACTGAGCCACCCAGGCACCCCCCCATAAACTATTTCTTAATAGGCACATGGATAGATAGAAAGTCTGACTTAAACTATATCCTTTACAGGGGCGCCTGGGTGGCTCAGTTGTTAAGCGTCTGCCTTCGGCTCAGGTCATGATCCCAGGGACCGGGGATCGAGCCCCGTGTCGGGCTCCCTGCTCCACGGGGAAGCCCGCTTCTCCCTTTCCCACTCCCCCGGTTTGTCATATGTGAATGAAAAGTAACATGGGAACAGTACTAGAGACTCTAATGCTTCTGGTACACAACCTCCTGTCCTTCTAGCTCTCTTTCCTCATTAGCCCCATATGCTTGGTTTTTGACCACATCAGATCTCTAGTCTTGACCTTTCTCCCAGCCTATCAATAATCCCCTCCTGATACTTTTCAAAAATGAATAGGTATTTCTTACATGATTAAAAATAAAAGGTGGAAACATACTATAATTAGTCATTTCTTTTACATGTCTGTTTATTTTATTCATCTCTCTATTCCTAGTACCTAGCAGAGGACCTGATACAGAAAAGTTACTCATTATGTGTTGGTTGAACTAATAAGGAAGGAAAAAAGAGGCAAACAGAGGTGTTTATATGAAAGTTCTTGACAAAACATAAATGAAATCTTGCCCAAATAAGTTGACTATTCATAATTGATAGTCATACAATAACAATGTATTGATCAAAAAGCAGGCTCTGTTTGTAGTAATAACTCCAGCCATCCAGTCAGGATTCCCTCTTCCCATCTTTTATCAACAGGTCCACAAGCCATTCCAGAGTAAAAGGACTTCTGACTATAGTTAGCAAGGGTTCACCCTGGCTTTAGCTTTCGGAATTGGTTCTTGAAACTCTATTGAATTTTATCCATTTTAAGGAACGTAGGCCAATAAAGTAATCCAAAATAAAAAGTAATTTCTAAAAATAATTATATATAGAATACTAAAATAGTGGAAAATTTGAAAATAGGCCCAAACAGGTTAATGACAAAACAATATAATTCTAAACTATACTGAATAACAAGTTTGTGGACTATGTCAATTACCAGACATCTTTTTTTTTAATTACCAGACATTTTTTAAAGAAGTAATGTTAATACAAAAAGGAGACCACAAAACAATTTATACACTGATTATACCAACTATATGTATAAATAGAAATGTGTTTTTAAGACAGGAAGAGAAGCAGAAATGATGGTTTTGTTTTTCTCTAAAAATCATAGATTTTTTAAGAAGGAGGAGAAAAGAAATCTAAAACATCAGCAGGTTATCAAGCTGCACTTCATTAAGAAAAGAACACTGTCTTCATGCTTCCCTTCACTAAAGCCTCTTTGCCTTCTATATATTTGGTCATGTTGACAGGAATGGTATTCAGGCAGGAGCTTGGGGAGAAATCTATCTCAGAAGCTTTTCTGAGTTTAAACAGGGAAAGGCAATGAACATTGTGTCCTTGATACTAAAGGGCAAAGCCTTGTACAGTATAGTCACCAACGATCATCAATTTAGACCACCATATTGATGGCTATCCAGAGCAATTTCTTCATGAGAGACATATACTAAATTAAAACAGTCCTTAGCTTCTCTAGTTGAGGATCTGCTCCAGCACATGAACATCTATCTGCAACTATTTTTCACTTGCTCTTTATATCAGGTGATGACAGAGACTGGCCATACACCAGCTGGGGCATGCCAAGTACTTACCCCAACATCGTCATCGCTCTGTATCAATTGTGAGTGTCCAAACAGGCGTCTCTTCAGTATGGGCTCAACCAGAGTAAGGTAAACCATGTATAGAAGTAGAAGGCCCAAAATGGAGAGATAAATTATAATGGTAACCTAAAGGAAGTTGAAAGTAAGTTACATCTCTATTCAAGCCAAGAAATCAGAATTTTGTGTAATAATAGTGAAGCCACAGTGAAGACTGATTTTTCTGCTAAGCATATAGGATTCCTATACAAACCAGATTCCAACATAAACAAACTCAACTTTTCACCAAAATCTTATTTAAAGAAAAAGAGAAAAGAAAGCATTTTGTCTTTGGGATCTTATTATGAGTCTTCAAAACTCCAACTTCACCTACTGCAAATCATTTGTCACCACTGCTCACACACCAGTTTTCTTTTTTTACCTGAATACAGTGTCCTAGATTCAGCAGCACGTGCTTAGACAATTTAAAGGAACCCTAACAAAAAATTTAATTCAGATGAATTTCCACAGAATACTCTTTTAGATTAATTTAGATATATAAAAATACATTTCAGGCCAGTGATTTTCCTGAGATCTTAATCCGTACGCTGTCAAAAAGTACAGTGTGACACCCTTCTCCCACCACCTCTAGGATGGCTATAATTAGTACCAAATGATAGCAAGGATGTGGCAAAACTGAACCCTCACACATCGCTGGTGGGAATGTAAAATGGGACAACCATTTTGGAAAACAATCGGCAGTCTCTTAAAAAGTTAAAATAAACTTACCTGTCTAAGGAATCTACCTGACAGGAATACATATATCGACACAAAGACATGTGCCCAGATATTTATGACAGCATTATTCATAATAGTAAAAATCTGGAAATAACCCAAATGTCTATCAACTGATGAATGGATAATGAAAATATGTTATATTCATATAATAAAATGATATTCAGTAATAGAAAGGAATTAAATACTGATAACTTGTTACAACATGGATAAACCTCAAAAACATTATGCTAACCGAAAGGAACCAGTCACAGAAGACCACATGTTGTATGATTCTATTTATATGAAATATTCAGATTTGTAGAGACACAAAGCAGAACAGTGATTGTCTAAGGCTAGGGGAGGGAACGAGATTCACTGTAAATGGGCATGAGGGATCTTTTTGGGGTGATGGGAATGTTTTTAACACTAAATTTTTAAAAATTGTTTTAAATTTCCTAAAATTTATTCAAATGTACACTTACAACGAGTGACTTTTAGGGTCTGAAATTACACATCAAAAACTTAGCTGAAAAATAAAGAAGTACAGTGAGGATTTTTCTACAGGACAGCACCCTGCTGGAGCAGGAACTCTCCCACAGAAATCTTTGTAACTGTTACAGCTGACCACCCCAGATTCTCCATGAGGGCTTTTCTTGGGGGAGGGGGGAATGAATGGGAAGCTCCATATAAAAAAACTGGGGAGAAGAACTGTTAGCCACCATAATTAAGTAACTGAACTCATTAGAGGTCCAAATGGTGATGAGAGTGATCTACATTCTATTTCCTATAAAAAATAAAGGAAATCTTAGAATCCAGAAGTGATATTTCTAGAATAGTCTATTTTTTTCCCTAAGGGTTGAGAGGGCAGGAAGAAAAGCACCTAGTCATGCTGTACTCTCACTAGCTTCTGACATACATGGCCCACAGAAAAGCTGGGATATATTTCAGGATATGCTAATTTCACACAGGGCATTTTTGTGCCATTTCACATATCACACCTATGTAACATGTCCTAAGTAATCCACAAAGCATCTCAATGAGGCAGGCAGAAACAGACCCACTGTTCCTCTGGGGCTGGTACTGGGGATGAGGAAGGAAGGGGGTAGTGGATGATGGGGAGGGGAGGGAAGAACAGTGGTTGAGTGAATGAAATAGAATTCAGATGTCCAAAATTTTCTTTCTTGTCTAGATACCATCAAAAACTATTCCAGAAGCAGAAGAGATGAAAAAAAATTTTTTTTTTACCTTGATCGTAACAGAGCTTCTTTCCTCGTATTTGCATTCACAGCGTAGACAGTATGCTTCTACATCAGGCCCACGCACAGGCATGGGATCCACAACATGAAGGCAATCGCTGAAAAAACAAGGATAAAATATTGCTTCAGCCTACCTGGATTTTCTACTTATACTGATCAAAACTTTCCTGAGATCCAGAATAATCACTGAACTTAAGAATTCAAGGAACAAATAATAAGGGAAATGAAATCATTTGCTCTCTCAGTATTAGCAATTGGGTGAGATTTAATAGTCTAAGAACCATAAAGACACATATGCAGTAGCTATTCTCAAAACTGCTGCTGTTAACAGTTAAAAATGCACCTGAAAAGTCTCAGATGGGATCAAAAACTACTTAGCACATCAAGTTATATTTAGACTTGTTCATTTACCAAGAAAAAAAATTGCTTTAAATGATTTAAAGTATCTTGGGGCATTGTTCAAATATGAGATTATCTCTTTTATGAATTAACATCAATCCTAACTGCCACAGAGTGGTATATGAATGGCTAATCACACTGAACAGCTGCTAAATTCTGAAACTCTGGAAACTGAGCACTCAAAGGTGCAGTAAGAAACAATTACTTTTCAAAAAAAAAAAAAAAGAAAAGAAACAACTACCTTTCTAAATGAGTAAAAGTCTATTGAAAACGTGAAGAAATAGGATTATGACAACAGAAATATTTAAAATTGAAAACTGATTATCCAGAAGAAGAATATAAAAAATAATAAAAGGCTAAATGTTTTTGTTGTTGGATGTTCTTTATTTTTTCCCCATTTTCTAGGCCACTTATTTATGGCTTATGAAAAAAGATATTCCATCAAAAAAATCTTTTCCCAGAAATCTGTCAATTCTAGGAAATAATTAAATTATGACTCTCCCCAACTATTAAGAGCCTACTACTCTGTTCTCCTTCAGCAAATGTAGGCAAAACTCTCCTATCCTGTCAACTGCTGGGCAATTTTCTTTTGTCATCTCTTCCTCAGGCACTTCTGGCTGTCTGAAGAACTGATAGCATCCTGTCTCATTCCACCCATCTTTCTTGGGGGCACCCAATGCTCTAGGCTACATCTTTCCCTCTGCCCGGCAAAATCTACTTTTTTGTGTTCCAGTCCTTCTGAGCCGTGGCATGAGAGAAAACCCAAAATGGCATAAATGATAAAAATTCAATCAGTTATCCCTAACAGGTAATTTAATTTTAACAACAATACTAACAAAAAAATAAGCCTCAACTGGTGGTATGGTAAGGTCCCACAACTCACACCATACAAGTTTGTGTTATCTGTTGCAAACATATAAGAAAACCAGTAATGTATCCAGCTGGATGCAGGCATAAAATGGGCAGAGGAAATTAAATCCCACTCAATCACAGAGGTCATCCAGGCCAATATACTTTCAGAGAGGTCACCTGTACAAGGTCACAGAGTAGATTAGAGGGTAAAAGGACCAGAACCCAGGGTTCCTACCGCCTAGGTTGGCTCCCCTGTAGCTCTCTGAACCTCAGGAAAATAAGACTTATCTCCCTGTTTCCCAATTCACCTCCAGAAGCCTTCATAACAATACCTAGGAATTACTTGGGGAGCTAAGTGTTGAGTATTGAGTGTTTCTGTTTAAGTACAGATACAGTTTAATAACAAGGAGATATTGAGTGCTGTGCAAAAGTTGTGCAGGGTGAGAGAGGAAGGTTGGTCTGGCCAGCTAGTCAAAAACACAGAACTTAGACACAGAACTCAACCACTCTGGGAACTAGGCAACACCTCCCCCTAGTGCCAAAACAAGGATATTATCAGCTAACATCACACCTCAAACACAAACTAGAGAACTCAAACTTTTCTACTGTCAGACAGCGTAAGTCAATAAAGAATTAAAGCTAACAATGGGACAAAATGGAAGCCAGAAGGTAAAACTGTATCTAGGACCAAATAGATATTGGAGGCTTTGTAAAGTCATAACATCCTAATTAATCATAACCTCCTTACCCTTCTAAAACAAGTTAACAGCTGAGAATCTATCTCCAGTAAAAGGCTGAGCTGCAGGAAGGAAGCACGGGAGAGGGGGAAGAAAAATCGCAAACAAGCCTTGTTTTCAACTATTTTTTTTCAAAGCTCCCTATTTGGACCAAAAACCAGAGTGAATGGCATATGGTTCTGTCTGAACCTGGAATTATAAAAAGTCAGTGAAAAGATTAGTGCTAAACACTTGAACAGTGAGTTCACCTGCCACTCAAATAATAGGCGTCACATTCTATTGCTGATAATAAATTAAACTAATTTTAAGCGCTTAGTGTATTTGGAAAATGTATAGGAATAACTTAAAAACTTATTTGAGCTTTCTTGTATCATAAAAGTAACTTGATGGTATAAAATCTATAATATAGCTAAATCACTTTGTAGTATGAGACAATTTAAAGTGGAGCACAGAAGTTCAGAAGAAGTTTTCAAGAATACACTTATCAAATATCAGATTGAATCTAAATGTATACCATGGGAAGAACAGACAATGGCATCAGAAAAAAAGAAACATGCTCAAAAAAAAAAAAAAGAAAAGAAAAAAGAAACATGCTCATAGGCTGCCTTTTCTTTTTCAAAGTCAACTTGAAATATTGTAACCAAATGAATTTAATTTTGCTTTCAAAGTTTTGCTGGCTATTTAGCAGTGAAATCAGGTACATGTGAAAGTTCCTAGCATTTGGAGCTATTCTTCTTATATGCCTATCCCAGCAATATTCTACCATGTTTACAAACCATAAAACATCACAATTCATGAGAAGGAGCCCATCCATCCTGCTACAAAACAACTGCTTCCCAATCTTTTATGCTTTGTAGAAAAGCTATCATTTGTAAGATCCATAAATAGAGAAGACTGCTGGTGACTAGTGAGTCAAGATCCCAGTCATCACAGGCCTGCCTGATATTCCAAGAGCTGAGGGAGCAACTTCTTGATATACCTATATCCACGGCACACCAACAGGGAAAACTAGGATATACGTGGCCCATTCCCATTCCTTCCTGAGCCTTTTGACACTTTTAAACATAGTCTCCTGTGTTTGGCAATATATCATCAAAACCTACAAGCTGTGAAAATTATAACCCAGATAAATGAGGCTTGCTTACCTTCCACTGAAAAGCAAGAGAGACAAAATTTAAGAGGGCACAGGAAGGTAGCTATGGGCAGTGTAGGTGCCACAAACTCAGCTCTGTCCCTTATAAAACCCTCCCTACTTGGGGCTTAGTGTTTTGGCTATATTCCTTTACATTTACATCACGCACTCAGGGCCTTACTCTCACTTTTTCAAATAGAAGTGGAGTTTGACACACTTAAAAAGAAATACAGGTGACCCTTGAACAACGGGTTAAACTGCATGGGTCCACTTGTATGCAAATTTTTTTCAGTAGATACAGTACAGTATGGCAGATGTATTTTCTCTTTCCTATGATTGTCTTAATAACATTTTCTTTTCTCTAGTTTACTTTATTCTAAGAATACAGTATATAATACATTTAACATATAAAATGTGTGTGAATCAACTGTTTTATTGGTAAGGCTTCTGGTCAACAGTAGGCTATTAGCAGTTAAGTTTGGGGGGAGTCAAAAGTTATATGCAGATTTTTTACTGTGCCAGGGTCAGCACACCTAAGCCCTACATTGTTCAAGAGTCAACTGTATTTAAAAAGGAAACAATACATTGGATGAACATTCTGGGCTAACAGTGACAACCACAAAAAGAACTCTGACAGGTAATTCAGTAATCTAAAATACTTACCAATCTTTTTGGGATATGTTCTTATTATAAATATGCCCAGAATTATCTTTATAGGGAGGACAGATACATTTACATCGGACATCCTCGAAATTCTGTAACCAAAATGGAAACTTAGTATAGCTTGTTAACAGTTTAGCATCAATATTTTTTAAAAACTGCACCATATACATTTTGCTAAGCATCCCCTGCCAAATATTCTAAAACTATTCGTTTTGAGAGATAAAAGTTTTTAAAGGTCATAGTTTCTTTTTTGGTAATGCTGATGAATCATTATATATTACATAAAATTATTTTGAAATAATACCTGTAGGTGATCTGTGATTTATTAATCACATTTATAGGTCACGTGACAGTCCAACTGTGTTAATGTTACCACCATCTACCTGCCAGTAAAAAGACACAGTAGACAGATAACTGTGCCTGCAAATAAGAATCCAATTACAAAAGGATGGGGAAGAATCAAATTAAAAATTACTCACAAATCAAGTCACAATTCTTCTAAACACCATCCTTCGACCCTTTGGTAGAATGGTGCTAATATGGATAAAGGGGGTCGGACCAGAGCTCTACAGAAGGGGTGAAAATTTTAGAGACACTCAGCTATATTTAGAAAGGAAGTATACAAGGGAAGTAGCTGGAGTCTAGCTGAGATCAGTTTGGTCTACGCTTCCCAGGAAACTTTGCTTCTAATCCCTGGTAGACAGAGAGGATAACTACTGATAAAGCAAGTTTCAAGAGATGGAGAAAGAGGTGACTAAATATATGAGTACAGGGAATAGGAGAAGCTTCATCAGCAAAGGGGAATTTATCTGAGAAGGCAAGTGGCTCATTAGTTCCCAGAGGACAAGGCCCACTGCTCCTATATATAGTGTTATGTCTGGCAGAGCTGTTGACAATTCGGCAACCACTTAGTGAGCATTTGCTCAGTGCTGGACCTTGTGCTCAATGAGGTGGATTCAGATAAGTGTAAGACATGGTTCCTGCCAGTAATGAGGACACACCCTAGTAATGGAGACTGACAGATAAACACATCATTACAATACACTCTTCAAGTGATGACAGGAGATATGCAGAGGATGTCAGCAATATTTTGAAAGACAGGAGACTTGCTTTTATCCCTATTTCTGGTGGGAGGTAGGAAAGATTTCAAAAAGAACTCCGGATCAAAACTCCCTGATCTGTCTGCATTTAATCTGTCTTTCCCAGCCCCTGTATTTAAAGATATTCTAGATTAAAGCTCCTACCTTTAAAAGATGCAATTTCATTCTGTTTTCCCATCATATTAATGTGAATTCCTTCTGTTTTCCCCAGTAAGGAACTAGCTCATCAAGGAGGAAGCACAAGTGTGTACGGGGGCAGAGCAGGTGTGGAGGGTAGGAGCATGAAGGGGACTAAAGAGTAGCATGAGGAGGCTATATGGGCCAAGAAGTGGAGCAGGGGAGAAGGCTACAACTTTACCTCCCTTGTAGTTTGGACCCTTCCTTCCCCACTAAAATGTCAGGAAGAAAGAAGGCAAAAAAGGGGCCAAGAGATCCTGGAGGGAGTTAGGTCAGGATATTAGGCTGGTGAGACTGTGTAGGTCCCACTGGCAAGGAAGGCTGCCAGGAGAGGCAAGTTCCTACACTGGGAAGGGAACTAGTTCAGGGATGAGTTAAAATGAGTTAGTTCCTAACCGGGAAGATTTCCGTCGGCTGGAGGCTTCTCGTAATTTTGGTTTAGGGAATGGGGGCGGGGCAGGAAGAAGGCTGTCTGTGAGACAGGTGGAGGGCGGCGGTAGACTTAAGGAGCTTAAGGGTGGAAAGTTAAAGGCTCTCAGAGTTGGAAAGGTTATAAAGTTTGAGGTGGGTGCTGTCGGGGCTGGGAAGGGAAATGCCTAGGAGGTGGAGGAGTTGCTGTCCAGGCTGTGGGCACTGTGATGGGTGGAGCTGGGGACGGGGGCGGGGTATCAGGCGGGAAAGAGGGGAGTAGTGTCAGGGCTACGGGTGGCAGTGGGGGCAGTGACTGTCGGACTGTCAGGGCTGGAGGGCGAGAGTGCTGTCAGGCAGTAGGGTGTTGGGTGGGGATGCTGCAAGAGCTGTGAAGCTAGGGGTCCGGCCGGCAGGGCTGGAAGAGGAATGGGGTGGGGAGCAGGTTGGCCGACTCAGTCTCCGCAAGGCCGGAGCAGGGGAGGAGCTCCTGTCTGGAGCGAAGGCTGGGCGGACTCACCTTGGCGGCGTCTGACAGCTGCACCAGCAGCAGCACTGAGAGCGCCAGGCAGGACAGGCTGAGCAAGGAGCCAAGCCGAAGGAAGCCTCCCCACAGGGTCGCCATCGCTGCCAGGCCCAGCGGTTCCCACAGCCCGGAGCCCCCGAGACCTGCTCCCGGCTGGGGCTCAGGCTCGGGATCCGGCTCCGGCTCCGGCTCGGGCTCCTCCGCCCGCACTTCCGTCTGGGCCTTGGCGTCACCGGCCGCGCCGGGTCAGCTACAAAAAGCATCCGCCCCGGAAACGGTTCCTGGTGCGCAGGGCAGGGAGGGGGCGCTGTGCCGGCGCCTGCCCGGCGGACACTCCGGCGGGGAAAACGAAGGGGGCGCCACTGGCCGGGCAACTTCGGCCCCGCAGAGCTTTGAGGCGCGAGGCTCTTTCTTGGGCGCAGAAGCAGCGGGGGCTGTGGACCGCCAGTGCCCTGGGAAGCCCTCTCGCCCAGAGAGACCCCCAGCAAACCCGGGATCTCAGACGGGAGCCTCCAGCGACCCCTGCGAGGCCGGAGCCGTTCGTTGCCAGACCCCTGAGGCTAGAGGGAGCCGAAGCCCCAGGGATCGCTTGAGAGGGCGGCACATCCTACAGGCGCAGGACCTGGGCCACAGCGGCGCGGCTGGGCTGGGCTGGGCCGGGCCGGGGCAGGCTCCGGAAGGTGTGGAGTTGGCCAAAGAACCGCCCTAGTAGCCTCCTCCGCCCGGACTCCAGAAGGTGGGGAATTGCGGCGCTACAATCCTATTCAGGGCGGCTGGCCTCTAAGTCAGAGTTGGGGGAGCGCTGACCGGTCTTCCTGGTGCGGGTCATCCTCTGCAGGTAATTGAGGAAAACCCTGGAGATGGCACAGTGTCTCCAATTAAGATATTTTTCAGTGAGTGAAGATAGTGTGGAGCGGGATAGTGGAAAGGATACAGAGCTCATCACCACCACTACAGATTTGCTGGATGACCTTGGGCAAAACACTTACCTTTTATGGGCCTCTGGTTCTTGGTTCACTATGAAGAGATTGAACTCCTATCTGTGGACTTAAGATTCTCCCATGAAATACCCATGTTTCTTTCTTTAAAGAAAACTTAAAGGTAGTTCTTTTCCTAGTTTGCAGAAATGTTTTAATTAGATTTTTTTTAAATATTTTTCTCCCATGTGACTTTTTCCTTTGCCTTTTTAAAAATTTTTTATTTTATGTAGGCTCCGTATCCAGCATAGGGCTGGAACTCAGGATCCTGAGATCTAGAGTCGCGTGCTCTACGACTGAGCCAGTCAGGTGCCCCTCCCACGTGATTATTGTTGATGCCAGAATCTAACACAGGGTGTCTGATATTGTGCCAAATGTATTTAGCCCCTTTCAATCCCAAGTGGCAAGTGGTGCCTAGTCCCAACCAGAACCAGAGGGGTAGGACGGATGCCCTTTCATCAAAGGCCCTCCAGGCTGCCCTGTGAAGGTACTGTCAGATTAGTGAGATATCCAGTCTTTGTTGTGGGTGTTCTGCTGGCCAGAGAACAACCTGGAGACCCTTGGAGTTAAATGTGTTTGTGAGGCACTGTGGATCTGTGATTGCTAAAAGCAAGTTTGGGATCAATTTAGGGTTAATTGTCCAGGTCTGACATTTAAAGGGAGTGCTCGCTCTGGCTAAAACCTCATAGGCCTTTTCTTCTTCAAAATTGTTCTCAGGGCCTTGACTGGGAGTACAGAGGCTTAAAGTAAATATATAGTAATGCCTCTGTCTGATGGACCTTATCTGTTTAATGGAGAATTACCAAGTATAATCATAGAAGCAGAATTTTAGAGTTACACTGTCCAGTACAGTAGCCACTAGCCACATGTGGTAATTGAGCACTTGAAATGTGGCTAGTCAGAATTGAGTAAGTGTAAAATATACACTGGATTTCAAAGACTTAGTACAAAAAAATACCCCTAAAAAAACTCAGTATTTTTATTTTAAGGTTGAAATATTTCAGATACATTGGATTAAATAAAATATATTATTAAAATAATTTCATTTGTTTCTTTTTACTTCTTAAATGTGGCTACTAGAGAATGTAGTATTTATGTTAGGCATCACTGTCCTAGAATATAGAATATGGCTACCATGAGTGGAGTGTGACTGTAAGATGGTTGCCTGGCTGGAGACTGAATGAAGACTCAGGCTTGGGTAAGGAGAAAGGTGTCTAAGCCTGCTGCACAGCCAGAGCCAAGGGTTTGGGGGAGGTCTATGTCCACCAAAAAAATGAAAGTAATTTTAGGTGATGCAATCGAAATAAAGAGGTTTAAAAAAAAAAAAAAAGGGAAGTAAAGAGGTAAGTTCCTCTTGTTCTGCCCTGCTCACACCTAAATAACACTTTCCGCTTAGGTCAGGGGTCTTCCAAGCTAGAAAGACTTACTTAAGTGTACTCCCTTCTGTATTTGTGCAAATATTTCATAACTTAACCCTACTATAGTAAAATTATGTTTTCATATCTGCCTCTATATTCCCAGCCTCCACTCAGATATGGTGAGCTTTTTGAGGGCAGGGGCCTTGCCTATTATCTTTGTACCTAGAAACTGGGATATTGGATTTGGGTTTTTTTGTTGTTGTTTTTTTTTTTAGATTTTAGTTATTTGACAGAGAGAGACACAGCAAGAGAGGGAACACAAGCAGGGGGAGGGGGAGAGGGAGAAGCAGGCTTCTTGCTGAGCAGGGAGCCCGATGCGGGGCTCGATCCCAGGACCCTGGGACCACGACCTGAGCCAAAGGCAGATGCTTAACCACTGAGCCACCCAGGCGCCCCAAAACTGGGATATTGTAAAAACCAATGTTTGTGGGGACCCAGAGAAGGGAAAAGGTGAATGGGAGGGGCTCATAGGGCCTTGTCAAAGAACCAGTCCCTACATGGTTCCTTTCTGACCATGAGAAGGTGATGCTGAGCCCAAAGAACTATGGATGGGATCTGAGTCATCATAGTAGGCAGGAGAGGAGAGATTTCTGACCTAGGGTCTTCCTAGAACTACAGGCCACATCAGTGTTCTTTTTATAGGCAAAGTGGACTTAGCACCCAGTCTTTTCCCTTAGTACCCACTCTTCCCCTCCCTTTTCCTTGCTTCCCTGTGACCGTTTTCCTACTTCATTCTTTTTTAAGGAATGACACAGGTCCAGGGGCACCCTCCCACCTGGACTGGGCCCTCTCACTTCTTTGTGAGGCCTGAAAAATTCCCTGGTGGGGGATTTAAGTGTGGAAGTCAGAAGGTTAGGAAGCAGAAGGGACAACAGTTCCATGTATGTGGGACCATGGTTTTAGCAGCTCTGTCTGCAGCCCCCTCATCCCCTTTCCCCTCCAGTGATCAAACAGCTTTTTGGATGTCCCCTTCTTATTTTTCCACCCTACCTGATCTACTCAGCACTTTCCCAGGCCATGCCAGTCCAGAACAAATAGAGGCACGCACAGCATCAGATGGTTTCCTTGGATTGTGCCTTTAGTGGTTATGGGAGGGGACACACACACACAAACACACACACACACAGTTTCTTTCAGCTATTTCTGAACATACCCAGGAATGTCTTATATGAGCCTTCTCCTTTACCATGTGCCTGGCCAGGATGCTTCCTCCTACCTGACCTTCTTTAGTGAGATTTTCTGTCCTCCACTTCCTGTAAAGCCATGTACGTGTGTATGCCACATCACTTGCTGGTCCCCACCTGGATAACAACAATGTATAGGGCCAGAATATTGTCTGTTCCTAGAGATGCTGGTGCCCCTATTGCTGATAAGTTACTGGAGTCCCTAAAATAACCAAGCAACACAAGGTTTGGTACCAAAGCAGGGAGAATTTTAAGTTTCTTTCAGAGTAGTGCTAAATCAGTATTGTTGGTTTCCCAGTGTCCTAAGGGAACACTTAAGGAAAACAGTCCCTCCTCTCTAAGATTTTCAAATACATGAAGTATATTATTTGTATTTATTTTTACTAATATAGTATATTTTAATTTTATTAATAACATGCTTATAACTAGTTCTTGATTTTTCAGTTTGGTCTATTATTTTACTTCTTCCTATAGGAAATAGACTATGCATATATACTCTAATGCCCTCTCATAAACACATATATTATTTCTCTATCCTTCAGTGTATCTATATCATCTTAGGTAAATAACCTCATTATATTATTATATCTGTATATATTATTCATAGTTGGTTCCACTAGCATAATATTACATATTGGTTTTTTGACTGAAATTAGCCATTGCCTCTTTTTCCATGCTTTCTTGTGGCTAGCACTCAACTATCTATAATTAATTTATCCAAAACTCTCCTCTCAGTACATTCAAACACATCAGGTAGCCTATTAGTTTATTTTTTAAACTGAAGACAACCCTCCAGGAGTCTGTCATCGTCCTTCATTCTGGACTAGTTGTCCTCTAAGCCTGCTGCACAGTTTTTGTCCTAGGATAATTTATCATTTATTCTCTTTTCTACTTCTTTTTTTCTGAAAGATTTCCATATTCCAAATCTTCTTCGGAATTTTTACATTTTAATTATCCTGTCTTACGTTTCCTAGAGTATTTTCTTGTCCACCCTTCCTCCCACCCTTTATTTTTTTTTATTTTTTTTAAAGATTTTATTTATTTATTTGAGACAGAATGAGAGAGAGAGCACATGAGAGGGGGGAGAGTCAGAGGGAGAAGCAGGCTCCCCGCCAAGCAGGGAGCCCGATGC